GTTGAGATGGCTGAAAAGGAGTTTGGAACGGGGCCTTAGTTATAGCATCCCTCAGGGAATGAATGAATGAATCAATCAATCAGTGGATGAATCAATGGCTAGATGAATACATGAACAGCCTACACATTGTGGAGCCAGTTGGATTTCTTCACTTCTCAGACCCACTCTATAAGTTTAAGGATTGATTGCTAACAAGTTGGGCTGTCTATGACACATTTTTCAACAGGAATTCAGCCTGAATTTAATAAACCAGACAAAGAGTGGGTCACAGAATTCCCCCACAGGAGAAATGTCATATAGGGTGAGCTATTACTAGGGAGAAATAGAAAAAGGTTGGCATTTCCTGGCTATAGTCTGGGTATGGTTTTTCCTCTTCTTGCCCTTTCCCCCTTCTCTTCCTATTACCTTCTGAGCATTCTTATTTTTCTTCTATGTGTAGGCATCCCTGAAGGATTCTTGGGAAAGGGCCCACACAGCCATGATCCCATAACCTGAAACAACCTCAAAACCCAAATAAAAATTTCAAGTTTCCTTACAAGTAATTAACATAGAATTGTGTCACGATGATTTCTAAAGTTGTAAGGAGAGAGAGGGAGGAGGGAAAGACACAAAACCTGGTGCTCTTGGCACTGCCTTCTACTGTGCAAGAGAATAGTGATCGGGGATACTCCGGCCATAATTGAAGGCTGGTTAGCAGTGATTGTAGGCCTGCCTTGGTATTGCAAGCTCTAGTGGTACTTTAACAAATTACCCTGAGCTTAGCCTGTCCACTTGCTGAAACTCTCCATCCAGCCCTCTTTTAAAGAGGTTTCTATTTGGGGGTAATGCCCCATATACCTCTCTGAAGGAGTCTGATTAGGTTCCTTCATTGAGAGAAGCCAGTCTTTTAAACCTAAGCCTTACTGGTAGGCATGCCGACCTATGTCAAAATTGCTGCCTGGACCCTGGATATCTGACCCATTTCCTTCTGCCTTACCTGATTTCCAGACTGGGTTTTTCCTGGTGTTGTTTGTTGCACCCAAAATTCATCCATACTGATTAAGCCTCTCAGCCAATCTGTGGAGTAAGGTTGAGCTCTCACCCACAATTATAGGGGATAAGATAGAGATGCAGAGAGGATAAGTCTACCCCACCAGCTAACTAGAGCTGATAGAGGGACCATGATTTAATCAGCAGGAAATCCTTCCTCCCTCCCATGAATCCTTTAGTTGCTTGGCTCATAGAATAAACATGCTCCCACCCCACCCCACCCCACCCCACCAACACTGGGTGAGAATTTTATTTTATTTTATTTTTTTGGCAAGTCAAATCAAGAAACAAAGAAAATTCAAAAACCCTGAGAAGACTCTACACTCAGAGATTTAGCTCTGTCGGGGACATCAGAGGTCATCAAACCCCCTCATTTTATAGAAGGAAGATACTGACATCCATCCCTGGGATGTGTCTTGCCCCACATCACACAGGCAACAAACAGCAGAGACAAGATTTAAACTCCATTCTTCAGCCATCAAAATACAGCCTTTGTTCTACTGAGCTATATTGCCTTTTACTCAACTTTTGGGAAAGTTTCCTGACTTTTAATTCTAGCTGTAGCTCTGAGAAATAATCACACATTCCCTAATTGTGCTGGAAGGGGGAGGAAAAAAAGGGGATCCACACCCTTCAGGATCTGAAGGAAGTGCATTGTACAGAGAGTGAGTTCTCCAGCCTCATTTTGTTTGTTAGCTCAGTGCAGTTACCAATTCCAGATAATAAGGTGGCATGTTAATTACCCCCTCTCATAATTTACCTCTATTCTGCAGGCATTCCATGGGGATGTTTTATGGGGGTGTTCTTTGAAACCTAAACAACTCCAGATCCTTAGGGTGGAGGGAAGCAACAGCTGTAGTTTTTGTTGTCGAATTTCTGAAAAGATCCTAGGAGTCAATTAAAAAGGAACCGTTGGCCACTTAAAATGTAATAATTACTTCTGTGAATGCTGCTAAATTAAATAAGTGTTATCCCCATGATTCCCCCCCACCCCAAGACTTTGGTTTTGTTTGAAAGAAAACATTTTGTTAGTCTTTGAGTGAATCTGTTAGCAGCCAGTGTGCAAAAATATTAAATCTGTTTTTTTTTCTTTCTTTTTTCCCCCTGGGGCATGAAAATCATCTTTTTCCCTGGGGCTTTGCTTTCAACAGCTTTGTATAAACTAGCACATAGGAAATGCAGCATTAGGGGTAGGGTGGGGATGGGGAGAAAGAAGGTCAAACTGACCGTGTCTTTGGATTGATAACTAGGCTAAAGTGATTTAGTCAGGAATTGAAATGAATTGAATGTCCTTCCTTTATTTAGTACCTGGTTCTCCAGATTCTCCTTTCTTCCCATTCTTTCTTTTTTCTATTAACTCCTATCGTCTCTGCCCTCTACTCCTTCGTAAATAGTTTGCTAGCTTCTTCAATCAATTAATCCACAGCATTGCTTAAGTACCTTTAACTGGCGGGCACTGGGCTAAGTGGTGGGGATACACCAAGGCAAAAATGTAACAGCATCTGCCCTCAAAGAGTTTCCATTCTATCAGGTTGGAACAACATATGACTGTGTACAAATTATAAGCAAGGTGGTTGTAAAGGTGGCACTAGCAACTGGGGGGATCAGGAAAGGCTCCCCATTTCCTGAGCTAAGCTTTGAAGAAAATGAGATTTGGCTAATGTGGGGATTATTTTTACTTGCTTACATGTTTGTAACAGGTTTTGTTTTTCTTGATTTTTCATGTGGGGAGGGCAAGGAAAAGGTGTGTGTGTGGGGGAGAGGTAATAGCTAAGAATAAAATAAAATTTAATTTAAATAAAAGAGGAATTACGTAAGGCAGAGGTCAGGAGGGAGCACATTTTGGGCATAGGAGAACATCTCTGTGAGATGGGATGTTGTGGGTGCCTTCCAGTGGGGAATCAGGGTCTACCTTGAAAAGACTCCATCTCTCTGGCATCTGAGCCTCCAAAGTTGTAGACAAAGTAAATGGCTAAACATGTTTAGAAGTTAAATGAGTATTGGGTTTCCCATCATACACGTGATTTCACCTTCTGTCTCCAAGTCCATGAACAGTCAGAAGCTTTAACCAACCTCTTTTAGGATGGAGCAAGAGGAAGTGGGCCTTAATTACAGTGTGAAGGCCTTACATTAGATACAAGGAAGAAGCTGTTCATGGTAATGGTTGAAAAGTCTCAGTGACAGGAAGAGGTTTTAGAATCCTGTCCTTGGAGACCTTTAAAAATAGGCTAGGCTTTCCTTTGGTTAGGAAGGTTTAGGTGTGCTATTGCCAACAGGCAGAAGGATATACTAGCTGACCTTTTGACTTCCTTACAGACTTAGAAAACATCCAAAGTCTTGGATGAAATCCCTCCCTTTCCATCTCATGTGCTTCTCCCCCTAGTAGTCTTCCTCATTCCTCCCAAGAGTAAATGATCTCCACGTTAGGAAAAAAGATCTTAGAAAAAGCTCTGTCTCCAAAGCCAGAAGACCTGGGTTCAAACTTTGATACCTTTGTGACCTTGGACAAGTCACCACCTCCTTAGGCCTCAGTTTCCTCATCTGTAGAATGAATGACCTGAATAAGTTGACTTCTATAGGCCCTTTGAGCTCTGGGACCCAGGATCCTACTTTTAAAGCTATTCCATAATGGAATGGGATGCCTCCAGAAGTGGTGAGCACTGCACTTCAGTGGAAGTCTTCAAGTAAAGGCTGGATTCGGTATGATGCAATGGAATCCTTTCTAGAATGTGTTGGACAAGATGTCTCTGATGTCCTTTTCAATACTGCTCCTTCTCTTTCAATATCTCCTGATCTCCTTGTCTCTAGGGTTCTCCTCTACACTTCCCCCTTCTCTCCATTGTACCATATTTACTTAGAAATGGATTTCTCCACTCTCAAGTGGTAAAGGGAGATAGAGTTTGTGCCCCATCTACCTTTCATCAACATCACCTGGAGTGGTGATTTGTAGACAACAGGTACTTAATAAATGGTTATGGCATTGAATTAAGACCTAGGGTTTTTTTTTTTTCCATTTTGTTGACAGTCCTTCCTGGTCTAGACCAACTCATTTCACGACTTCTCGAATTGTGGGAGGGTTTACCATTCAGCCTAAGACCCTTCTATTATTTCCTCTAGGTGACAGCGATATTGTAAATAATATGTACGAGACAGACCCGGACCTCTTGGCTGGCGAAAGTGCTGAGGAAGAGACCGAGGACAGCATCATGTCCCCTATCCCCATGGGACCGCCTTCCCCCTTTCCCACCAGCGAGGATTTTACCCCAAAAGAGGGTTCACCTTATGAGGCCCCTGTCTACATTCCTGATGACATTCCAATCCCACCAGACTTTGAGCTCCGAGAGTCCTCGATTCCAGGGGCTGGACTGGGAATCTGGGCCAAGAGGAAGATGGAAGCTGGGGAGAGGCTGGGACCTTTCATGACAGTGCCCAGGACCACGCTGAAGGAGACAAACTTTGGATGGGAGGTGAGAGCTCTGAGTGTGATTGATCACCCTCATTTATCTTGTGCTCAATCTATTTATAAATCAGGGGATCGAGCCCACCCGGCTGCCCTGAGGCGGGAGGCCATGGGTAAAATAAGTTGGCTAATGTCACTGGCTTATTTTATACCCTAGTTTCATGACGCCATTCTGAAAACATCAGAGGTTCTCATGGGCTGCTCTGGGCCCCAGAAAGTTGTGCTTGCTCTCCTCCAAGAAATGTATCTTTAATGACCTCATGTCTTAAAGAATCCCATGCTTCCCTTATGGCTCATAGATGGTAAGGCTACATAGTCACAGCAGCATACAAAAGATTAATCAAATGGCCTATGGATGAGAATTAGTACCATTTGGAAATGTTTCTGTAACTGAGAAGCTTGAAACTCTTCTAGCCCAAATGGAAGGTAGCTGTTAAAAAAAAAATCTAGTAGCCAGTGACATTCCCCAAATACCTGACAGCCATGAGCTATAAAAAGAGGGCTGTAGCTCCTTCATCCCCCAATTATCAAAGGCTTTGGGGTTTTTATAGGTGTCTGGAATGCCCAATTCCCAGATTAACATTGAGCAGAAAAGAATGAGAATTTCTACCTCCTACTCACCCCCCACCTACAGAGCATGTTTGTCTTTAAAAAAATCACTAATGAGGTCCCGCCAGAGGTGGTCTGCAGAACAGAAGGACACTGGGGCAGGAAGCTGGCTCAAATTTGAGGGATGCAAACTATAGTTACCTGCTGGGATAACTGGAAGGTGGAAGCAAACAGAAAGTTTATAGGCAAGGATCTATTTTGGGCTTGACCTAGATCTTCCTAGGTTTGCAAGGTAGAAACTCAGGGCAGGGGGAAAAGTCTCATAAAACAGGTTTTTTTCAATTGTTCCTGGCCTTTACACTGTACATGGAAACTAGGTTTTTGGTGATTTTTTTTTTTTTGGTAATGATCTTTCCCAAGGAGAAAAGAAGGAATTAAATCTTTGGTTGTTTTGTACCTTCTACAAAGGACAGAATGAAGAAAGTTCCTGGGGAAGAGACATAGGATGGAGGAGGAAGAGAGGAAATCCAGGGGAATGGCTACCCCTTCTTGAAACACTCAGGCTAGGGAGCATAGCTAGAGGAATGAGGTCAGAATCAGGTTATACTCATATTATTCATATATATATATATATATATATATGATATATGTTATATTTATCTCATTATATCTCTACTTCCAGCTCTTGGATCAATAAACATTTATTAAGCATTTAATATATGCTAGGCATTGTGATAAGTGCATACAAAAAGAGGCAAGAGATAATTCCTGCCCTCAAGGAGCTTTGGTCTCATCACTTCTGGAATATCGTAGTTCAGTTCTGATGCCACGTTTTAGGAAGGACATTTATAAGATTGAAATTGTCTAGAGGAGAGAGATCAGTCTAGTAAAGAACCCTGAGTCTGTACCATATTTTTGTTGCAGTTGAGTCATTTTAGTCATGTCTGACTTTTCATGATTTTATTTTAGGGTTTTCTTGACAAAAATACTGTAGTTGCTTGCCATTTCCAGATTAAAAAGATGAAGACGGTTAGCCAGGTGAAGATTCAGAGGAGCCCTAATAGCTGTGTTTTTATATTTGTGGAAGAGCAATTAGACTATTTGGATCCAGAGGGCAGAACTGGGAGCAATGGATGTTGGAGTGGAAGTGTCATTTGTAGAGAAGTAATTTAGCCTTTTCTTAAGGAAAATAAAAGAAAAGAATCTTACTAACATCTTGAGCTCTACTATGGGGAGGGAATGAGTTCACTCTCAATAGAGGTCTTCCAACAGAGGCCAATCATTAAATAAACATTTATTAAGCACCTACTTTGTTCAAGGCATTTGCTAAGCATTGATGTGGAAATATTGTAAAAATCAGGTTTGGGTTGGACTGGATGCCCTCTGAGATCTCTTCCAACTCAGAGATTCTAAGATTTGGTGAAATACTTTCAGTTCATCACTTCTCCCTCAAGGAGAGGTTTTTTTTAAGTTCTCTTCAAATTAAACAGTTATGTCTAGGTTATTGCTTGGTGATATCAGGAGCTACGCCAGAGGGATGTTGCCTCTTTTAGGAGATTCAGGAGTGCCTTGGTCTTTTATAATCATAACCTTACTATGCCTCTTGCCATGTGTGACTGATTCAAGTGTATTAAAGTAACCCTCTTGGCCTTAAAGAGTTAATGTGCTTTGCAATTACGCCTTGGAGTCACTTGGGTCCTGGAAGACTGACTTATAATTTCTTTCAAGAGGAATTGCCTCCTAAAGAGAGGATATGTCTCCCATTAGAATACTGGGAAATAGTCGAGATTCTTTAGCATTATCAACAGTCATGGTGAAATGTAGCCTCATGGTCCTAGATTGGGCTTTGGGCATGTTGTTGCAAAGTAGAATAAAGCAAAAAAAAAAAATCAAAACAAAAGATGACTTTCTCAAAGAGCTAGTCAGTCAGCCAACAGTCAACAAGTCTTACTATGTGCTGGGAACTCTGCTAGAGATACATAGAAAGGCAAAAAACAAAGTCCCTGTCCTCAAGAGGCTTACAGTTTAATGGGGATGGGAGGTGGGGGGGGATGGGGGTGGGGAGAGAAATAACATGCAAACAACTCTGTACATACAAGGTACATACATCCAGGACACACTTCAGAGGAAAGTCACTAATAGTGAGGGATATCAGGAAAGGCTTCCTGCAGAAGGTGGGATTTTAGCTGGAATTTGAAGGAAGTCAGGAAGCAGAGGTAAAGAGGACAAGCATTCCAGACATAGGGGAATGCTTGTGCAAAGACAGAGTCAGGACATGGAGTGTCATGTGCTCCATTCAAAATGATGTGAGTCACTATGGGATTGTAGCATTAGAACCTGGATAAACGAATGAGTGAGTGATTAAGCTGGGTGAATCAGATTTACTTGTCCTAGAAGATATTCAAAATTATAATTCATTTTGTCCTGAGCATATAATAGAGGTGGATTCTCAGCTACCCCTTCTTTCTAATCAACAATATTTATTGAGCTGCTAGTATGTACAAGGGAGATGATGGGTCATAGAGACCTAGAAGGTCCCTTAGAGGTTATTTAGATCAATCCCTTCATGTTACATATGAAGAAACTAAGGTCTAGGGGAAGTGACTTGTCTAAGGTCACACAGATAGAGTCTGAGGCAGGATATGAATTCAGGTCCTGTGACTCCCAATTTACACACTCTTTCCACTTTACTGTCCTGGGTTGATACAAAGAAAAAACTTCCTGACAATTGAAGTGAGCACTACCTTGAAGATGTCTTTACCTGGAATATATTTCATCCAAATTACCTGCAGTGTGACCCAGTAGAAGGACTAAGGTGAAGGAAAGAAGAGGAAGGAGTTAGGGGATCACAGGAATTCTGATAGTCTGTTAAATTCTCTTCTAGGAGACGGTGGCCAATATCATATGCACTGCAGACATATGTTTTTTTCAATGAATTAGATATTTTCAATAAGTCAACAACCTGTTATTCAATCATTTCAGCCATTACCCCATTTAGGGTTTTCTTAGCAAAAGTACTAGAGTGATTTGCTATTTCCTTCTCTAGGTCATTTTATAGATGAGGAAACTGAGGCAAACAGGGTTAAATGACATACCCAAGAACATTTGGGGTTTTCTTGGCAAAGATATTGGCGTGGTTTGCCATTCCCTTCTCCAGCTCATTTTACAGATCAGAAAATTGAGGCAAATTGGGCAAAGTGACTTGCCCAGGGTCACATAGCTAGTAAGTATCTGAGCCTGGATTTGAACTCAGGAAGATGTCTTCCTGACTCCAGGCCTGAAGCTCTGTGCACTATGACGCCCCCTAGCCGACCCCTCATGTACTTACTGTGTGCCAGTTGTAGGTACTAAGCTCTGGGTACAGAAAGAAAGGGAATGTGGAGTATTAGAGACCCAGACAAGGAGTCCAGAAGACCAGAATTAAAGTCCAGCTTCTGATAGATTCTGGCTTCCTGACCTGGGCACTCAGTGCCTCTCTAAGGGTGACAAGCTGAAGAGCAGGTGCCCCTCTGCCTCAGCAGGGATGGCTACCTCACTGGGAGCAAACACCGATGAAATCATAAGCCTGGACCCCGAACGAAAAAGGCACATGGTTTTTTGGCTGTGAAATGAAATTGACTTGGGTAGAAGCTATTTGCCCTGCCCTTCCATGCCTGGCATCTGTACAAGTAGAATCAAAGGACAGATAGGTCAGGAGCCCTCCCTTGAGTAGGTGGATTGGGGATGATGAAGGGAATGTGAATCTGACAAAAATCTTTCTCAAGACCTTCAGGGGACTTTGTTCTCATCTACTGTGTCCTGATACAAGTTTCTATTTGCTTATTTTTAAGAAATGGTCCATATCTACATTACTCATTGAATGCCAGAGCTGGTACGAGCCGTTTCTGTTATCGGCCGTATGTGTTGACTCTGTGATATTATTTATTTTGGGTCGACCGTGCGAGAACGTTCTCCTCAGATTTCTGCCCCAGTCTTTTGTTCCCTGAGCATGACCCGACAGCTACCTTTCATGCCAGCAGTTGGAAATATTTGCCCTCAATCCAACGTCCTCAAACAGAGCTGCAGACGCACCCCGGCATTATCTCTTCTGACCTTGTTTTCTTTGAGAGTTCAGGCGCTGATTACCTTGCCTTCATGATCCATCTTGTGCCTTTGTTACTCTGTGACCATCCATTAAGGGGGCGAGTCATTGCTGTCATGGTGTGGAGAGGCCCATTTGGAGCTGGAGAGGGAACATCTACATATGGCAAAGAAAGGGGAAATTGGAGGCAATAATCCAGATAATGAGGGCCAAGCCAACTTTAGCTTGAAATAGTTAATTAGATTATGGAAGGGTAGGGCTTTTTGTTTTTTTGCTTTGTTTTGTTTTGTTTTTGAGGGAGAGTTAAGCAAGTCACTTAACTGTTTAGACAGAGGCTTTTATTCTCCACACCTGGGTTGTGTTCATATAAATAGTCTAATTTGCCAACCTCACCAGAAGGCTTTCACGTTTATACCACTGAACACCAAATTAGTGTTGACGCTGTTCAGTATTACTTTCATTAATACTACTAATAATACCAAGCCCTTACATAGCCTTTGAAGTTTGCAAAGCACATTACAAACATTATCTCATTTAATCCTCACAACAACCCTGGGAGGTAAGTATTATTATTATCCCCATTTTACAGATGAGGAAAACAAGGACAACAGGGGTGTGACTTGCCCAGGGTCACATGGCTAGTAAGTATTGAAGGAAGGATTTGGATTCAAGTTTTCCTGATTCCAAAACCAGCAATCTATTAACTGGACCACCTTTGGGAGTACAATTGGATTAAGACCGCTCAAGTCAATAAGCATTTTTTAAATGTCTATTACGTGCCAAGCAATGTGCTAAGACCTAGGGTCCATATCTGTTACATTTCAGCTATGGTGCTAGGCTCTAGGGACACAGGGAGGAGAGAGAAATCAACCCCTGTCCACACAGAGCTTACAATCCCGCTAGGGCAAACAATACATCTGTGCATAAGTCTAGACATGAGCTATTCAGAGAAAGTACAATGGTATCGGGGGTGAGGCCCAAGCCACTGGGGGAATCACTAGGCTTCACATAGAAGACAGTGCTTGAGTTGAGCTCTGAAAAGAGCCTAAGAATCCTAAGAGGCAGAAGGCAGGAAGGAGTAGTTTACAGGCATGGTGGAC